TAAATAGCAGTTTACAAAACAAGCTGGAAACAGCGTACCTTCCATTAGCCCAGTCTTGAACATGGAGCCAAATTACAGTGCCAAAGTAGACAAAAATTTTAACTTGGTCTAACAGCCAGGTTTTTTTGGTCTAAAGAAATTACTTTGAAATTGGGAGAACGTCTTGAATTAATAATATTTAAAGAAAAAAAAACCTTATTTGAAGGGCTCACTATATAATTCTTTTTTGTCTGTTTAATTGTATAGGTCGAATTTCCTGGGGCATAAAGGTGAAGTGGCTGAAGAGTTTGGTGTAATAATGAAAGCTTTATGGACAGGACAGTATAAATATATCAGTCCAAAAGACTTTAAAATTACAATTGGGAAGATTAATGACCAATTTGCAGGATATAGTCAACAGGACTCCCAAGAATTGCTTCTCTTTCTAATGGATGGCTTGCATGAAGACCTAAATAAAGTAAGCAATACACTTGTAACAAATGATACATCTGTCAGATGATCAAGAGAAATAAATTTGTAAAAGACCCTCTTATTTCATAAGAAGATTATGTTACTGGAACCTTGTATAGAAGGAAATGCAAGTATTCAGAATTAAAGTAGAAATTTAGTTTGAAACAGTGTAACGTACTGAAGGGAGTAATGGAGGAAGCCTAACTAGATAAGAAATGGATGGCTACACTGACATGTTCAAATATTTTTGCAAATATTCAATAGTATACTTGCCTATAGATGAAACCTCATATTTTTGTATATGTTAATATATAGCTATGATATTTAAACTTCTGTTACCCAGGCTGACAACAGGAAAAGATACAAGGAAGAAAACAACGATCATCTTGATGACTTCAGAGCAGCAGAACTAGCCTGGCACAAACACAAACAGCTCAATGAATCCATTATTGTGGCACTCTTTCAAGGACAGTTCAAATCTACAGTGCAGTGTCTTACATGTCACAAGAAGTCACGAACCTTTGAGGCTTTCATGTATTTGTCGTTACCGCTTGCATCCACTAGTAAATGTACTCTGCAGGTACGGTGGGACTAGAAACAGTTGGTGAAGTAAAAGCATTTATCTGTGACTTCATTACAATGTTGCTCCTGCTCAGTCTTTTGTTGAAGGGTTTGGTCAATATTCCAGCTTAATTTATGCTAACCTGAAACATGAACAGATCTGAGTCTTCACTATTTTTTAATTTTTCTGAAGTTTAAAAAAAAAAAGGTTATTCCTTAAAAGTTTTAAAATACAAGCAGGATGGAAATACTGAAGCCACAGCAGCAGAAAAGACATGTATAGTATTTGCTTTTGTAGGTAATAGTATAAATATTCTGTGGTTGTAAACAAAGTATTGTAGGTGTATTTTAAAGGACTTGCAGCTAATTAATATATGCAGTAAAATTTACTTCTACACATGGATTTAACTCACTTTTCCTCATTTTTGTGAAACATAGCATGCAGGTACTTAATGCAGGTTAACAACCAAATAGGAAACAAACATTTTTGCTATGCTTTTGTAAACACCTGCCCTTCACAATCTCTGTTTGTATTTTGTTTTAGGAATGCCTTAGATTGTTTTCCAAAGAGGAGAAGCTCACTGATAACAATAGGTTTTACTGTAGCCATTGCAAAACTCGAAGGGATTCTTTGAAAAAAATAGAAATTTGGAAATTACCACCTGTTCTTCTTGTGCACTTGAAACGGTAAGAGAAATGGTGAAAATTAATTAGGATGAAGTGACCAGGCTGTCATGGAGATTGATTGTTCTAGTGCAATAGCTAACCATTTTTAATTAGAGAAAGATTCCGGATGTATTTCCGGTTGTAATGTTGCAAAAAATTTTATTTTCATCTGATGCCTCTTTTATTAGGCTGTAGTTCACAAAGCACTGTTACAAGTAATATCTTTTTATTTGTGCTAAGAAACACATGTGCAAGCATTAGCAAAACTGGGGGCCAAATGCTTTAGTTGATCTCATGTCCTGGTTGAAAACAGGGAAAACAAACATGCTTAATATTCTTAGATAGCTTGTGAACAACCTGTAACTTTTAATGATGCTTTTTAATTCTCTAGATTTTCCTATGATGGAAGATGGAAGCAAAAGCTTCAAACTTCTGTAGATTTCCCATTGGAAACGCTTGACCTTTCACAGTACGTTATTGGTCCAAAGAATAACTTGAAGAGATACAATCTGTTTTCCGTATCAGTAAGTAACCATGTTACATTTCCAAGTTCAGCTGATCTTTATGCCAAGACTTGGCTTGGCCTGTGTGATTTATCTAGGTTTCCAGGCTGCCTACCTGGTTGCAGATTAAGTTGTTGTATTCTAAAAAGAATTATTGGTATTTAGTAGAAATCTCACATTCTAGTTTATTTTGCTAACCAGGGAAGAAATGGCAGCTTTTGAGGCCATTAATTCTTTTCTTCTTATGTTTACAGAATCATTATGGTGGGTTGGATGGAGGGCACTATACAGCCTACTGCAAAAATGCTTCAAAACAACGCTGGTTTAAGTTTGATGACCATGAAGTTTCTGAGATCTCAGCATCATCTGTGAAATCCTCTGCTGCATATATTCTCTTTTACACTTCTTATGAACAGCGAGCAGTGGATATGGCCACATAAAGTAGTGTGGGTTAAGAAAACTGGTTTTCTTTTTATAAGAGCAAAGTAGGTATGGGAATGCATATAAATATGCAAAACTATGACAAACATAGTCACTTACAGATATGGGGATGGTTCCAGCAGCTTTTCTGCAAGCAAGCTCTTTCTGGTCAGTACTAGTGCTTAAAAATCAGAAGACTGATTAGTAATGCTTGTGGTAATACTGCCATCTGTGAAACCATTTAAAAAGCATACTTGCATTACCATTTATTTAAAAAACAACTATATTTTTAGTCTGCTCCAAAATTAAATTCTAGCTTAGTCATCTGAAATCTATTACCAAGTAGTTTAAAATGTCTTAAAATCCCAAGGCATATCTTGATTTTTATTTTTTTCTTTCACTGTTATGGCCTTTTCACATTTCTAACCTTAAGCTTGATTCTACTGTGAATACTCTAGAATGATGTAAACAGTTAGGAATGTAAGTGTACATATTGATTGCATACTTGCACATCAGAACTATGTATATAATAAAATGTTGTCCTTTTTGTGAGAATCTCTAAAACTCAGAGGACTGTGTTTATTTGCCAGCTCTAATTGCAACACTACTTAATAAAAAAGCAGAGCTGTATTTTTTTTCTGCTAGCTTTTGTCAATATTTGTGCACTTCAGAGTTAGTCTAAACAAACAAGATTTTCCTTTTTAATTTTTTAATATAAATTTTCATGTACACATGCATTAAAAACCTTAATGAAGAAATGATTTAAAAATATATCCTGTTAAATGTATGTTTGGGTTTGGCGTTTTTATTCTCAACTAGTTGTACAATGGTCAGGATTCTACGAATGAAAGTCTGAATTATAGACAGTTAAACGTTCTTCAGATTAAAAAAAAAATACTACTTTGTGTAGAACTGATCAGTTTAAAAACTGTTTTAGTTGCATCTTGTGCATTTTCCTGCTCTGGATTTGGGTTAGTTTTCCCTCTCTGATTGGGTTGACATTCAAAAATCTTAAATTATACATTCTAAGCTTTTATCTGTCTATGTGCCTGTGTCTTGCTGATGGAATTAAGACCAGGGTTGATGATTGTTTTCCAAAAGCTTAGAAGCTGCAAACAAATCTGCAGTGCTAGAGGGACAAAAGTGACAGTACCAGAATAATGTCTTTTTATTTCTTATATTAATGGTCACTTCATGCCCTGCTCTCTTCTGAAACACATACCCTCAGTTGTCTGGTTGTATGCTTTCAGCTTAGTATTCTACTATCAGTTTCTGCAAGGCAGCTTAAAACAATGCAATATATTTAACCAACAGAGAAAGGGGAATTTTCAGGTAGGTGCATCTATACGCTCAGCGTTTGTGTAGTGGGTGTTTGGTAGCGGGGGAGGGGGTAGCTCCTGTGAGAAGCTGCTAGAAGCTCCCCTGGCTCCAGGTTGGACCTACTGCTGGCCAAGGCCAACCCAGTCAGTGACAGTGGTAGTGCCTCTGGGATAACAGATTTAAGAGGGGAAACATGTAGTGGAGAGAGGAGTGGGATATGAGAGAAACACCTGTGCAGACACCAAGGTCCCTGAAGGAGGGGGAGGAGGTGCTCCAGGCACCGGAGGAGAGGATGCCCCTGCAGCGCCATGGTAGGACAGCAGGCTGTCCTCCTGCAGCCCATGGAGGTGAGCAGGGGAGCAGATGCCCACCTGCAGCCTGTGGAGGAGCCCACACCGGAGAAGGTGGATGCCCCTGAAGATGGCCGTGACTCCATGGGAAAGCCCATGCTGGAGCAGTCTGTGCCTGAAGGACTGCAGCCTGTGGAAGGGACCCATGCTGGAGCAAGGGAAGAGTGTGAGGATTCCTCCCCCTGAGGAGGAAGGAGCGGCAAAGACAATGTGTGATGAACTGACTGCAAGGTGTTTTAAGATTTGGTTTTACTTTTCATCCTGCTCTAATTTGATTGGTAACAAATTGATTTGGGTTTTTTTTCCCCCAGGTCAGGTCTGGGTTTTGCCTGTGACCATAATCGGTGAGTGATCCCTCCCTGTCCTTGCCTCGACCCACGAGCCTTTCGTTATATTTTCTCCTCCCCATCCCAGTGGGGGGGGAGTGAGCGAGTGGCCGCATGGTGCTTTGTTGCTGGCTGGGCCTAACCCACGCCAGTGTTCTTTTGAGGGATGTACGAGGTTTGTCACTGAAAACAAACAGACCATGTACAAATGGAGCGGATGCATGTTCTTTAGCAGGCTTGGAAGCTGTAACTCTTCTCTCTAGAAATTACTTGGTGAAAGACCACAACAGATGATTGGTAGTGCAAATGCTCTAGTTTATTGATGAAACAGGACTTGGCTAATGCTGCCAATGAATTCTAATTGCTGGCCTACCTACTGTTCGTTTTCCATCACTAGCAGATTTTTAATGGGTGCAGAGAAGGCCTTGACAAATGTAGAATAGGAGATACGCTGTGTCAGACTGCACTGAGGCATTTGGGATCTTGGTGATCTGTGCATCGTCGAAGTTGTACCAGTTTTTGGTGGCTGAGTGCTTGCAGAACGCCGTGTAGTGGCCATCATCCAGAAAACCAGAGTGGTTCTGTAACAAACAACAGGGTCTGTTAAAACAGAAGTCTCGCTCTTTCTCCTTACAGGCAAAGCTAGGAATTGGCAATCATTTTTTGTTTGCGCCTGGAAAAGATGGGAGAGAAGATTCTAGCCCCCTTTGGTCTACAGCGAGGAATGTTAATTCAAATAAATGCTTTAAAACAGAGCAAATAGATGATGATTATGCTTCTCCATTTTTGCAATGTTAAATTTGCAGCCCAGCTATTAGCCCTGATATGGGTCACTATAAGCAGGCCCCACTTGCAGTGAGTAATGGAAAAAGAGACCATTTAATCCTTATTTATAAACAGGATCCATGCAGGATCAGCTTGTGAGTTTATGCTGAGGAGGCTCCAACCAGGCATTATGTGCCAGGAGTGTGTGCTTTTTAAAATTGGGATGTGGGGGAAGGAGGGAGAGAGAAGCGATAACTTCTCCTCTCTCCCTTGGTTACATACTGTTACTGGAATATGTCCATGGCAGGTAAAAAAAAAGAAAGAAAAGGTGCATGAAAAACATATCTAACACTGGCTTCATCTTCTCCGTGAGGCCAGGCTTTACAAATAAAAGCAGGAAAGGCAAAGCTCACCACTACAGCACACAAGCTGTACTCTGCATCCGTGCAGAAAAGTGGGGAACTGTAGGGAGAGAGATCCAGATTGCTGAGTGGATAGCAGATGTCAGTTGAGAGTTTCCTTTTGTGCTTGCCTTGCCATTCAAACCTGAAACAAATTTTTGAACTATTTTAAATAACACTAAACTTACTTCTTTCTTGCATTGTGGTGGTTGCTTAACTGATTTTCCTAGGGGAAGGGAAAAACAACAAATAACTACCCAGTGTTTTGAAAGAGAAAGATCTGTATTAATGTTGAGTATTACAGTAAACTGATAGAAAATGCACTAAACCTACCAGAGATGTCCAGCAAGAAAAGCAAAGCTCTTGCTTCCTGATCCTTCTGTCTACTAGAAATGGACACAGGTACCAAAAGCAGCCAGAAGTCAAATCTCTGCATCACTGTCACTGTGTCCTAAACATTTGGGACTGCACTGCTGTTGTCAGCTCTTCTTCTGTGCCAGTCTCCATCCCTCTTTCTTCTGTAAATTTTAGTACAACACTATACTTTTAAACATTTATAATGTGGCCAAGGGCTGCAGCTGGGGACCACAAGTTCCTCTGAGCATGTCAAGGAAAGCAGATGAATAACGGGCAACTAAATAATAACTTTACATAATGTAGTTCTAGGAAGCCAAATCATTCCAGAGTAATTTTCCTTATAGGTGGGAAGTTGTTAGGAATAAATTCTTAATAAATTTAGCAGTTGGCCACATGTGGCTAGTAAAGTCTGCTAATCACGAGCTCTTACACTGATGTACCTCTCTGTTTAGTAAACCCAGTTGTTTAGACCTGATTTAGTTAAGGGATAAATAAAAACACAGTGTCTCAGCTGAAATAATGACAAGCAAAATGCCCTGTTTCAGTCCTGCCCTAAGAACCCAAGTCACAATCTCTCCCACTTGCCCCAGGAACTCATTCACAGGGATGTCTGACCACATGAACTGCTGTACTAATCTGTAGTCAGTCAGTCCTCGGTGGAGTTTTTCTTCCCTTTGGAGAAGAGATCCCAAAATCAGTGAATGAAATTTGGTGGGTTTCAGTACAGAGTAAGGCAGAACACCTTGTCTGAGATTTCAGGAATGCAGCTTGCTTGTTTGACAGGTATATTTCTGTAACTGCCCATTTAGCTTCCAGGTATCAAAAGTACTAAAAATACTCATTTGCAGTGATTTTTTTTCCTTTTATGTAAATGGAAGTGATGTCTCACAAATCCCAGGAAATGGCCATGTCCTACCCCATATAGACTATACCTCTTTAAGTGGAAAATAATGATCTGCGGTGCCTTGGTTATGGTGGCCTTTACTGTAGCATCTTGTTTTGTTCCACACCAGGAACACTGGATTTGGTTGTTCCAAGTCAGTATGTCTTGCTGAAAGAAACATTTGAGACAGTCCTGTCAAAGAAGAAAAAAAAAAAAATTAAAAAAAATGTCAAACAGCTCTCCACCCCTGAAGGTCCTGACCAAGGTAAGAGACAGGTTTGCCATATTTTGGAGCTCTCTTCCTAATCGAAGCATGACGTAGCAAGGCTAACATTACAAGTACACTTGAAACACAAAGCTGCCAACATTGGCTTCCTTTTCCCCCCCAAATGAGGAAATACTTGGATGAGTGAAAGAAACCCTCAAGGTTACTATTGAACAATCTTAACATCCCTCACCCATGGCAACTCAGGAGCGTCGCTCCCATAACCTTACCAGCCTCCGCGGTCCAGAGATGAGTATAGAAACCCCACATCTCTTAGGACTAGTTCAAAGACTGTCCGTTAGTGCCCACGAAACCAAAGTAACTAAAAACCTATATCTTTTTAATAATGCGTATTAGTCTAAGCCACCTATTGCCACATAAAGCAGAAACCAGCAGGAATGTAGTAGACGTCGTACCTGCAGAGAGCATGCGCTTTTGGAAGGGATGGGCAGGGAAAGAACAGTGAACCTCTCGGGTCTGTCGATGGTGGTCTTGCATTCCAGACACATGATATCGTAACTGAGTTGTCCCTCAAATAACTTTGTGATAATAGATGTTTCACTGACACTCCCTCTGCTTGGTTTTCCATCAGTTACGCACCTTCTTTTGCTCGACTATACAGAAGAAAAAAAATGAACAAAATGTAAGGAACCACCTGTTTCAGAAGTGCCTTCACTGGGTTTTAATGGTCACTGCCCACTGCCTGTGTAGGCTAGTAGTTAGTCTTGTCACAGAACTCGGCTCTAAAATGCTATTACTTTACGTGATGTTTCATACATGCAGAGTAAGCTAAATTCCTTTTCTGAGAGAAATTAAACTAAAATGTAATATTGTAGACATTAGATGGGAGGGATTTAATTGCTAGACAAGCTCTTTATCAGTAGGTCTAAAGAGGAGAAAGGTAGACATGGGGACATGGCAGACATGAAGGTTTCAGGTAGATGAAAAACGGGAAGAATGTAAAGCGTGGAAGGAGCAAGGAGAGGGAGGGGTGAGGATAATGGAGCTACAGACAACATTATCATTTAAATGGGGCTTGCAATTTGATGTAGCATTAGACAAGAAGCAAATGAATTCTTGTGTGTTCATGGGTACAAAACAAAGGAAGAAAATTACAATTTTTAGCAGCCACGTCATGTAGTTCAGAAGAGGAGGACAGGCAATTATTACATGGAATGCTAAACCATGAAATGCAAAGAGGAAACAGCTACAGCCCCAGAACACCACAGGTGGGCTCTTACCTTCCTGAGACCCTCGTGGAGCTCATTCAGCACACAGATCAGAAACTCCTGTGCATCCTGCTGCGTCCTCTTGCCAAAAGTTGGGTACCGCTTCCCAAGGACTGAATAAAAAACCTCCGGGGAAACACAGTCAAACTCTCCAAGCCACATATCGGATATCAACCAGCCAAAGGCAGTCGCAGACTCACCATTCTCTCTTGGAAAAAATAAACGTAAGTTTCAGGTAAAGTATGAAGAGATGGTGGCTCTACCTTCAAATGGGAACATAATACATAAACTTAGAAAATATACACAGGTACAGTATTGCTCTGTCAGCCTGTCATTTAGTTTGAGGGTCTCCACAGATACTAGAAAGTAGTAGGAGTCATCATCGAGACAGCAATGAGAGTAACTGGTATTACTGTCAAAATGACAAAGTATAACACTCAAGTTACGCAGCAAGGAAACGACTCAGGGTTTCAGAGGAAGGAGAAGGAAACCAGCCTGTGGCCAATTTGACTGTAACTGCCTGGTGGGGAGCTAGTAGGTGGCTGCCTCGGACATTCTCACGGCAACACATATCCTTTGGAAGGAAAATGGCAGTGCCAAGCAGAAAAATACAAGTAGCTTGAATAAATCAACTTACTTGTGTAGGACTGCTTTGTGCTTTCCTGAGAGGAAATACTCCACAAGCGGTGGCACGCTGCAAAGGCACTGCAAAATTGCGTTCATGTAGCAGGTGTTGCCCAGATTCCTCAGGCCAGTGAGCCCTGGGTGCTGGCTGTTCATCTCCTCCATTGGTTCCTTGCAGGAATACTTCACGCTTTCCAAACAAAAGGAGTCATACTTCCACCTCCTAGGAAAAAACCCACAACAGTGGAAATCTAAAATGCTGCAGTGCTTTTTCTATTACATTTTTTAGAAAGCAGTACTGTCTTGAAGAGATGTTTCCTGCTGTTTCAGGATCTTCTTTATAAGTTACACACATTTACTTTCATCAAGCTAATACAGTAGTAAAGACTCTCTATTTCCCACACTAAGCTCTTCCCAATGCAGTGAGATACATCATTAAGAAGTATTATTTAAATACCTGAGGTTTTAGAGTTAGTTATTCCTAAAATTCCACTCAGTCTTTGACTCCATACACAATTACTGAAAAACTATAACCAGATGTAAATAACTACCTCAAGCATTTCTCCCTACAGAATGCATATTGTATTTAATTTCCTCAGTTGTCTGATACTTATTTCCTAAAACCATAGGTTGCAGTCCAGATGCTACACAAACAGGTTGCTCTTTAGACTTCTGTCATAAAATGTTACTTAATTCACATTAAGAAAATTTTAGTAGGTTTGTTTTCTTGCTGCACAAGTCTGTCCTGGACCAAACTGTCCCCATCTCCAATTAGGCAGAGAGATCTGAACACAGACCCTGCACAACCCAGATGTGCTCGCCAATGTTCCCATTCTTGAAATTCTAAAGGCTGCCTCTTCTTATTATGATGCAGAAGGAAGTAAAATGCTGAAACCTCAATAATCTTTGTAGAACAAGAAAAGCCATTTCTTTCCCTTCAGCTGAACACCACTTGCCCAAGTTGCCATTTCTGGAGGTGTCCCAGGCTGACAGTCATTTTCTATCATCTAATAGCTACAAAACAGCTACAGAACTGTTTCCTTTTAAATTTCAATAACAGCAGAGCCAATGTTTCCAAACAGCTCTACCTATATACCAGTCTCCTGTGAAAAAGCTTAATTCCCTCTTTTATAGCCATCCCCGTGAAACGCCAGCTTGGAGGAGAAAACACGTTGGGACCATCGGGTATGGAAGGTGGCTGGGAAGCCACCAGCAGCCTTGCAGGGAGCCTGTGCTTGCCCCAGCTCAGGGAGGCGGCCTCTTGCTCTCTTTTCCTCGTATCTCACCTCTTCCGTCCAGTTCCATGGCACAACTGGCACGGTCCTGCGTGTTCCATCCCCTGGCCTACCCTCACCCCGTAGCTTTGTGATGCCGTCCTGTTCCATCAGTTCTCATCCAGGGGAATGGGCCCTGCCTGACCTGCCTCCACCTCCTTCCTACGTGCCACCCAAAACAACCTTGGGCAGAGATAAGCACCCACCCGTTCCACCGGGCGGAGAGTTTCAGCCTGACCCGCGTTTATTTGTGTTTGTTCATACCCATATTAGCGTCTATTATTGCCATGCTCTGATGGAAGGGCAGTGATAACTGAGGGTGTTGACCATAAAAAGATGGAACTACCTCAAAACATCACACTGAATTAGTTTATTGGTGTTTAGAAAATTTTCCTGGGAAAAAAAGGGTAGTGGTAAAGAAGTGTCTTTTAATAAGCTAATGAGACAGTGTAGTTGATCCCTGAATTTCATACATCACTGAAGAGCAGCAGGTTTTCTGTATTTAACGTACAATTTGGGAAGTAACAATTATCCACAGAAGAGGCCCAGGAAGCCAGTGAAAAAAATCTCTATTTATCTTACTTGTTAAGCTTGAAGCAAAGGATGTCTGCCAGCACTCTTTGGACAGCTTATCTGCTGCCACTGCTATTAATCTTCCGAATTGTGTATCTGCAAACTGAGATATAAAAGCAACACACACACACACACTCCCAAACTACCATTCAAAATCCAATCTACATTTTTGCAAATGGAACTGTAATACTGTACGTACTTTACCAAGAGTTTCAAATGGTTTAAAATCTAAATTATAATCCTGTAGGTTAAACTTAAAAGTTGTAACAAATATGTACAAACGCTTGAATACATACCAATATGTAAATACACTCACAGTTGGTTTTCTTCCACCCTGAAATATTTGTTTAAAGTTTTGTTGATAAATCTCAACTAGTTAAGAGTTCAATCCTGCCTCTTTCTGCAAATTTATTCAGTTCAAATATGCAAAATATGAGATTGAAATACAATGGATTTTCCCCCATGGGGCTGTGATTGTTTGTAACTATATGGAGGTACTTTGTCAAAATGCTATAGGTAAAACGCAGAGACAAGTACATGTTGCAGATTTATCAAAAGGCCTGCTGGAGAGCAACTGCAGTTTACTTGTTTTGCCTTGGATAATAGAAATGCACCAGACATTTCCATTACACATGCAGAGTATTTATGCACTTATTCTTATCTCTGTGTAGGTATAGACTGAAGCCTGTACAGAAGTATACGACTTCTGTAAATTCTCTGAAAGCCTGTTTTGATTCTCTGAAAGCCCTCATTCTCATTTCTGTGAGAGCATCTCCAACGTTTCTATGCTTCCAAGGCTCCTTGCTTATTCCTGCAGCCCTTCGGGGGAAAAAAAGTGTGAATGAACTTATAATAATATACACTAATACAGAAATAAAATTCAAACTGGAATTAGAACATTTGCAACATTGGAGAAAATATCAAGAAAGGACAAGAACAGCAAGGAGTTCATTTTACTTTACTGGAATTTAACCACTTAGATAAATTGTATTCTGTGGGATGACTCTCCATATTTTCCTGGATTTATCTTTTTCATAGAATGGCTTGGCTTGGAAGGGGTCTTAAAGATCACCCTGTTCCAACCCCCCTGCCATGGGCAGGGACACCTTCCACTAGACCAGGTGGCTCAAAGCCCCATCCAACCTGGCCTTGAACACTTCCAGGGATGGGGCATCCCCAACCTCTCTGGGCAACCTGTTCCAGTGCCTCACCACCCCCACAGTGAAGAGTTTCTTCCTTACATCTAATCTAAATCTACCCTCTTTCAGTTTAAAGCCATTACCCCTTGTCCTATCACTGCCTGCCCTTGTAAAAAGTCCCTCTCTGGCTTTGCTGTAGGCCCCCTTTAGGTACTGGAAGGCTGCTATAAGGTCTCCTTGGAGCCTTCTCTTCTCCAGGCTGAACAGCCCTGACTGTCTCAGCCTGTCTTCATAGCAGAGGTGCTCCAGCCCTCTGATCATCTTCGTGGCCCTCTTCTGGACTCACTCCAACAGGTCCGTGTCCTTCTTATGTTGGGGGCCCCAGAGCTGAACGCAGTACTCCAGGTGGGGTCTCACAAGAATGGAGTAGAGGGGAAGAATCACCTCCCTCGACCTGCTGGTTATGCTTTTTTTTGATGCAGCCCAGGATACGGTTGGCTTTCTGGGCTGCAAGCGCACATTGCTGGGTCATGTTGACCTTCTTGTCAACCAACATCCCCAAGACCTTCTCCGCAGGGCTGCTCTCAATCCACTCATCGCCCAGCCTGTATTTGTGCTTGGGATTGCCCTGACCCATGTGCAGGACTTTGCACTTGGCCTTGTTAAACTTCATGAGGTTTGCCCAGGCCCACCTCTCCTGCCTGTCAAGGTCCCTCTGGATGGCATCCCTTCCCTCCAGCGTGTCGACCGCACCACACAGCTTGGTGTCGTTGGCAAACTCGCTGAGGGTGCGCTCAATCCCGCTGTTCCTGTCGCTGACAAATGTTAAACAGCACCAGTCCCAGTACCGACCTCTGAGGAATGCCACTCATCACCGTGCTCCACTTGGACATCAAGTCATTGACCACAACTCTTGGAGTGCAACCATCCAGTCAATTCCTTATACACCCAGTGGTCCATCTATCAAATCCATGTCTCTCCAATTTAAAGACAAGGACGTTATGCGCGGACAGCATCAAATGCTTTGCACAAGTCCAGGTAGATGATGTCAGTTGCTCCTCCCCTACCCACCAACACTGTAACCCTGTTGTAGAAGGCCACCAAATTTGTCAGGCAGGATCTGCCCTTCGTGAAGCCATGTTGGCTGTCACCAATCACCTCCTTATTTTCCATGTGCCTTAGCATAGTTTCCAGGATTCACTCCATGATCTTGCTGGGCACAGAGGTGAGACTGACTGATCTGTAGTTCCCTGGGTCTCCTGTTATTCCCTTTTTAAAAATGGGGGTTATGTTTCCCCCTTTCCAGTCAGTGGGAACTTTACCAGACTGCCACGACTTCTCAAATGTGATGGATAGTAGCTTAGCCACTTCATCCGCCAGTTCCCTCAGGACCCACAGATGCATCTCATCAGGTCCCATGAACTTGTGCACCTTCAGGTTCAGATGATCTCGAACCTGATCTTCTCCCTACAGTGGGCACTTCTCCATTCTCCCAGTCCCTGCCTCTGCCTTCCGTGTGACTTGGGTGGTATGGCTGGAGCACTTGCCAGTGAAGACTGAGGCAAAAAAGTCATTGGAGTACCTCAGCCTTCTCCATGTCCTGGGTAATCAGGTCTCCCATTCCCTTCCGGAGAGGGCCCACATTTTCCCTAGTCTTCCTTTTATCACCAATGTACCTATGGAAGTTTTTCTTGTTGCCCTTGACGTCCCTGGCCAGATTTAATTCTATCAGGACTTTAGCTTTCCTAACCCGATCCCTGGCTGCTCAATTTCTCTGTATTCCTCCCAGGCTACCTGTCCTTGCTTCCACCCTCTGTAGGCTTCATTTTTGTGTTTGAGTTTGTCCAAGAGCTCCTTGTTCATCCATGCAGGCCTCCTGGCGTTTTTGCCTGACTTCCTCTTTGTTGGGATGCATCGCTCCTGAGCTTGGAGGAGGGGATCGTTGAATATTAACCAGCTTTCTTGGGCCCCTCTTCCCTCCAGGGCTTTATGCCATGGTACTCTACCAAGCAGATCCCTGAAGAGGCTAAAGTCTGCTCTCATGAAGTCCAAGGTACTGAGCTTGCTGTGCGCCCTCCTCACTGCCCTAAGGATCTTGAACTCCACCATTTCATGGTCACTGGAGCCAAGGCTGCCCCTGAGCTTCAGATTTCCCACCAGCTCCTCCTTGTTGGTGAGAACAAGGTCCAGCACAGCACCTCTCCTCATTGGCTCTTCTATCACTTGGAGAAAGAAGTTATCATCAACACACTCCAGGAACCTCCTGGATTGCTTATGCACTGCTTATCCCTCCAACAGATATTGGGGTGGCTGAAGTCCCCCATGAGGATCAGGGCTTTTGGACATGAGGTTGCTCCTAGCTCCTATCTGTCTATAGAGGGCCTCATCCGCTCAGTCTTCCTGGTCAGGTGGCCTGTAGCAGACCTCACTACAATGTTACCTGTCCCTGCCCTCCCCTTTAATCCTGACCCATAGGCTTTTGGTCAGCTCCTCATCAATCCCCAGGTGGAGCTCCATGCACTCCAGCTGGTCATTGACATAGAGGATGACACGCCCTCCTCATCTCCCCTGCCTGTCCTTCCGAAATAGCCTGTATCCTTCCATTCTAATGCTCCAGTAGTAGGAGCCATCCCACCACATCTCTGTGATGCCAATGGATCATAGCCCTGCAGGTGTGTGCACATCTCTAACTCCTCCTGTTTATCCCCCATGCTACATGCGTTTGCATAGAGGCATTTAAGTTGGGCCCCCGATGAAGCTGACTTACTGACTTTTGGTTTTGACAAAAACAGTCATGGTAAGTATCCGCTCCTAGTTTGGAATACAGGGTACACTGCCAGCAGCTTGCATTTTTCTCCCAGTTAAGGAATTTTTGATGCTTTGTGTAATTTTTCTCAGTGTCTCCTTTATCCTTCATTTTAGCAGCTTTTCCAGTCTAAAAAAAACAAACCAAGAAAAGTAAAAATCAAAACTAGTATTTTGATGATGGGATATATAGCTTCAGATTTTGTTAGGGTAAGAAAGGGCTAACAAGGCTTTCTGACTTTGGGTCACTAGCTTACCTGCCATGCAGTTATAAATATCCCTTCAAAGAAAGATAACCAATAATATAAATTGGTTTTATTCTTCTGTCTTCCCATGAACCATTTTTGTCACTGGCGAATGACACAGGTGCTTCCAGAACTCATCTCTCCATGTTCCTAGTTGCTCATGGCATACTTTTCCTACCCCAGTGTCTCTCACAACTGGCAGATTTGATTGACACAGCTGCATCCTGGTTCCCCCTCTACACTGCTGCTCCCTTCCCACCACCTGCTGGGGCTCAGGGGATGTCCCTCCCCAGTCTCCAC